GGGGGGGGGGCGAGCGGAAGCGCTACGCTCTGCCCACAGAAGAGCTGCTGGACCCTGCGTTCTGCCTGCAAAATCAGGGGGCAGCCACCCCAAATTTGGTAGGTCTCTACTCATAAGGTTCAATAAGGAGAAGCACAAAGTCCTTAAGATGGAAAAATGGCATGTACCAGTACAGGCTGCGGACCAACTGGCTAAGCAGTAGGGCAGTGTGAAACTTTGGCAGCCGTTTCATTTTGGAGACGTTTCGGCCCATTTTGGGGCCCAAAACAATTAATCTGAAATAAAACGGAAGGCTCCAAAACATCTCTGAAACTAAACAAAACAATCCAAAATGTTTCAGAGGCACCCTGGGAAGTCTGGTACAGCCCCATAGCCCTCCTTTTAAAGTGCTGGTAAGCTGGGGCCTGGTGGGGGCTGGGCAGTGCAGCCATGAGGGCTTCTCCCACAGCTCCTTCTGCTGGGTCAGAGGCAGGCACAGCTGGAGGAGCTGTGGGAGAAGTCCCCATGGCTGCCCTGCCTGGCCCCAGCCTCCTGGCACTTAAAAAAGAAAAGAAGAAAAAAAGCCCTGTACTCATTGGCTGCAGCAGCAGTGGTCGGGGCCTCTGAAGCCTTGTGGCAGGGCCTCCCCCACACAGTGCAGGGCAGTGGGGATCACTCCTCCCCCTGCTTGGCACCCGCGTGGCAGTTGTTGTGTTGTGTGGGTGCAGTGCGGCTCAGCAGGGCATCACGTGCTGTCTGAGAGCTGGGGTGCTGCACGCTGTCTGCATAGCATGACTATGTCCCTACTCCCTTACTAGGCAGAGTATTAGCAGCATACAAGCTTCAGCCTATAACCTGGCCTGCTGGTTTGAATAAAGCAGAACTTCTACCAAAATAGATTATACTCTTGTTTAGGGATAACACAAGAGTTGCATCTCAAGCTAAACACTGCAGTGAAGACAAACCTTAAGTGATGATCAGCAGTTAGTTCTACGTACACTACAGCAATTACATTACTCACCTAGCCCCGGGGTTTTTTCCCCATTGTTCCAAGAGCACCAGATTTTGCTTGCTTATGTTAGTTCCCTCTTATCATTAGTCTTCCATTTTAAAACAATTTACACAACATCTTAATCTTAGAATAACTAAAGATGAATATAGAGTAATGCAGGAACCTCAAAAAAAATGCTTTTCAAGCATCCAACAGATGCATGAATTCTCACTCTGCAAAGAAAAACAGAAAGTGTTTTTGTTTAGACAATTTACTGTCTATTTAGGGAGGAACAGACAAATAGCCTCAATTTTCTGCAAAGGAAGGGTCCCCCCCACTCCAAACATATTCTTCCCTTGCATTCAATCTGTACTTGTAATAAAGACCTTGCCTGAATAAAAGGAAAAAAAAATCAAGTAAAACTGCCTGCATCAGGCAGAAATACTTAGAATCTTATCAGGCAGCCAACTCCCTCCAAATAGGATGGTTTGTGAGGCCCTTTAAAAAAAACCTGCACTTAAAAAAAATTATTCTTCACCTCCCTTTCCATGAAGCTAAGTTCAAAAGACTTTGGATAGGTTGGGACATGATATGCAAAATTGGGCCCTTGATTAACTGAATTGAAAGGAACTGGAAATATGTACATGAATTGCTGGCAGGAGAATGAAACAGAATTACTCTTTCATCAACTCACCTAGGACATACACCAAAATAAGTCTTGAAAGAAATCCTTAACTGCTATTCTCCAAAAGGACGAAAAATTGGTAATAGCCCAACTAAGAATTTCAGAGTTACTCTAAAATAGAAGCAGTGGATCTACCTCCAGGTGAGTGTGATAAATTAAGATTTTCTTCAAATGCAATCAGTCACGAATCTATTTGAAACAGACCAGCTCCAGGCCTTACTTCTTCCCCAAAAGGAACATTTCTACGCAATAATGTTTGGGGTGATGTTCATGTTCCATTTAAGCAGACTGGAATTGCCACCCCCCCGTCTTAAACATTAATAATAATGTTGGTTACTGATTTTTTTTTTAAGAAGCTATTCTAAAAATACCCACAGCTAGTTTAAAGAATGTGGTGAGATGCCAGATAGCTAGAAGTCAGAAAAGTGATAATTTGACAGTACTGAGCTGGGGGGGTGAAGGGGGGAGGAAGAAGAGGGATGGGGGGGAACAGTTGAGGAGGTTTATTCTTGTGCAGCTGTTTGGCCCCAAGCAACATACTGGGATGTTCCTGTGTCAAAATTAACTTTTTTTTATTTACTACTTCTATTGCCAACCAGTTAAAGCAGGAGAGCAAGACTGAGATGGCAAAACACAAATAATGATAACAATTTTAGTGAACAAAAAGCATAGAATAAGTGGGAAAAACCCTGGTCATACCCTACTCACTCTCCCTTTCAGCACCTGCTCCCTGCCACTGTGTGACACAGGATACTGGGTAAGATGGAACTATGGTATGACCCAGTAAATGACAACT